AAGAGTGTGGGAGGGGAACAGCGTAGGGAAGAAAATTTGGGAAAAAATAGAGAGGTAAGAAACTTGTGGGACACATATATGGTTTATTATCTGTTGATGAGGATGTGTGTAGTATTCTTAACTGGCTGGACTGAGGTGTACATCATACTTGGTGAAGTTGCTTTACAATCTAAATGATGTATGGCAATTGAATGTATGAATAATAAAATAAATAAATACATAAATAAATAAAGGGAAAAAAGTAAGTGGAGCCTGAAGACACCACTGAATTGCTGTAATATGAGAAAACCTTAACAGATAAGTTGTTTCTTATTGATGAGCAAAGAAACTGGTTTCTTGAGATAGTATGTACTCCTGGTGAAAATGCTGTGAATATTGCCAATATTAAACGCTAACAGCATTTTAAAAATTAATTACATAAACTTAGTTGATAAAATAATGGCAGGGTGTTAGAGGGTTAATTCCAGTTTTGAAAGATGTTCTACTGTGGGTAAGATGCATTCAAACAGCATTACACGCTATAAAGTACTCTGTTGTGGAGTCAATGTGGTAAAGCAAACTTCACTTAATCTACTACAATACAGTGTCAATTTAACTTTTACTTTTTCAGTATTTTTCTACTTACAGAAGAACTACCTATTTACAAGTATGATTTTTTTCTTTTTTTTTTTTTTTGGAGAAGTTTTTGCTATAGGGCGTGTGCACTCAACAGAAGACAGAGAGAGACAAACAGAAAGTGATAAATCACCCCTCGGGGGATGGTCATGCCACAATCCCTTCTCCTCCATTCTCCTCTTGGGATCCTGGGCAGGCAGGCACGCACACACACCCGGCATGAGTTTAAGCCACTGGGTCTGGAACTCGAACTGCAGTTGGCTACATGGGAGTCTGGCGACATAGCCATTACGCCAACTGCTGGTCCCACAAGTATGATATTTTTGTATTTCATTATTTCTGTGCTCTCATATTTTTAAAATGTGATTACCAGTTTTATTTTTTTTTAGAGAAATTTTCGTTATAGGACATGTGTGCTCATCAGCAAACAGAGAGAGACAGAGAGACAGATAGCACGAGATCATCCTCCCCTCAGAGTGGATGGCCACGCCACAGGCCCTTCTCCTCTTGGGATTTTGGGCATGTACGCACACACACCCAGCGTGAGTTTAAGCTATTGCATCTGGGACTCAACCCGTGGTTGACTACTTGGGAGTCCAGCGACATAACCATTACATCAGCTGTCAGTCATGTGATCACCAGTTTTCAGCTGAGCTTCTCAAATATGGTTATTAGTTTCATCTGCATTTGAATATTTGATTCCTTACTTAGTGGTTATGGATTAGTAGGATTCTTTGTCTCCTCTTTATGTTAAAGTCATGGGGTTTTATAGATAATGTTATTTGGTCTCTCTTTTTTAAAATTCATTCTTAAAATATTTTGGAAGGTGGATGGAAAGATTTTGATTTAAGATATTTGCTGTGGTTTTATATACCTTGAAATTAAATGTACATGTTCCTGGGGCCAGTTTCCTGTCCCTTTTTTCTTAGTGACAAGCTTTTGGTTTGGAGTTTGTTTTTGTTTCCTCATGTGAAACCCATGAAATAGAAATATGACTTGTAATTATTTTCAGTCCTGGAAATTGAAGAAAGCAGATTTGGCTGTGACATAGGGCATCTGTATATGTCTCATTCCATAAGAAATCTGTTAGTATTTGGACCAGCAGTTAGCGTAATGGTTATGTCGCTGGACTACCACGTGGTCGACTGCGGTTCGCGTCCTGGACCCGGTGGCTTAAAACTCACGCCGGGCACGTGTGCGTGTGTTTCCAAGATCCTGAGAGGAGAATGGAGGAGAAGGGATTGCAGCATGACCATCCCCCCTGGGGGGTGATTTCTCGCTTTCTGTCTCTCTGTCTCTCTCTGTCTGTCTGGCGAGTGCACGTGCCCTATAGCGAAAACCTCTCCAAAAATAAAAAATAATAAAAGAAATCTGTTAGTATTTTTATGTTAAGATTAATTTTTCTTATTTCTAGAAGTTTGGAAAGCTAATCACGTGAAAAAGAGAAGCCAAGAAAACCAACCTGAACATTTATGGGAAATCATATTTATCAATGAAAAAACCTTCATTAATAAACAAGGTAATGTAATAGGGAAACCATTTAACTTGGACATAAATTATTTTCCTTCCAGAAAAATATCCTGTCAGTGTGACTCATGTGGAGTGAGTTTGAACAATATTTCAGGATATATTACCAGGAAGAAAAACTTAGGAAAAAATCCTGATGAATTTCATGACTGTGAGAAATTGCTTCTTGATGTTAAAAATGAAAAAACTTCTATCAGAGAGAACAGAGAGTTTTGTAAAAATAGGGAAGCCCTTAATCATCTTGAAGACTGTGTTCAGCATGAGAAGATTAAAACATTAGAGCAAAATTTTGAATTTAACACATGTCGGGAAACCTTCCTTGAAAAGGCAATATTCAATACACACAGGAATGAGAATGCAGAAGTGAATGACTGTGAATGTAATAAATACAAGAAAACTTTCTGTGATGATTCATTCCTCTTCTTCCATGAGATACCTCCCACAAAGGAAAATCCCTGTGAGTTTAGTGATTATGATAAATCCTCATTTGTAAAGTCTACCCTTTTGAAATATCATGGAATGTATATGAAAGATCATAATAAGTACAGTGAGTGTAGAAATAATTTTAGGAGGAATTTACCTCTCTCACAACTTCAGAAAACTCATAAAGGAGAGAAACACTTTGAATGTAATGAATGTGGGAAAGCTTTCTGGGAAAAGTCACACCTCACTCGACATCAGAGGGTACACACAGGAGAGAAACGCTTTCACTGTAACGAATGTGGGAAAACTTTCTGGGAAAAGTCAAACCTCACTAAACATCAGAGATCACACACAGGAGAGAAACCTTACAAATGCAATGAATGTGGGAAAGCCTTTAGCCACAAGTCGGCCCTAACATTACACAAGAGAACACATACAGGGGAGAAACCTTATCAATGTAATGCATGTGGGAAAACGTTTTACCAGAAGTCAGATCTCACTAAACATCAGAGAACACACACAGGGTTGAAACCCTATGAATGTTACGAATGTGGTAAATCCTTCTGTATGAACTCACACCTTACAGTACATCAGAGAACTCACACAGGTGAGAAACCCTTTGAATGTCCTGAGTGTGGGAAATCTTTTTGTCAGAAATCACATCTAACACAGCATCAGAGAACTCATGTAGGAGATAAACCTTTTGAGTGTAATGCATGTGGAAAAACTTTCTACCACAAGTCAGTACTCACCAGACATCAGATAATTCATACAGGTTTGAAACCTTATGAATGTTATGAATGTGGGAAAGCCTTCTGCTTGAAGTCAGACCTCACAGTACATGAGAGAACTCACACAGGGGAGAAACCCTTTTTATGTCCTCAATGTGGAAAGTTCTTTAGCCATAAGTCAACCCTTTCTCAACATTATAGAATACATACAGGGGAGAAACCTTATGAATGCCATGAATGTGGAAAAATCTTTTACAATAAATCATACCTAACTAAACATAATAGAACACATACAGGAGAGAAACCCTATGAATGCAGTGAATGTGGGAAAACCTTTTGCCAGAAGTCACAACTCACTCAGCATCAGAGAATTCACATGGGAGAGAAACCCTATGACTGTAATGAATGTGGGAAAGCTTTTTGTCATAAGTCTGCTCTAATTGTACATCAAAGAACCCATACAGAAGAAAAGCCCTATAAATGTAATGAGTGTGGAAAATCTTTCTGTGTGAAGTCAGGACTTATTTTACACCAGAGAAAACACACAGGGGAGAAACCCTATGAGTGTAGTGAATGTGGGAAATCCTTCAGTCACAAATCATCCCTTACAGTACATCACAGGGCTCACACAGGAGAGAAATCTTGTCAATGTAATGAATGTGGGAAGATCTTTTACCGTAAATCAGACCTTGCTAAGCATCAGAGATCACACACAGGAGAGAAGCCCTATGAATGTAGCACATGTGGAAAAACCTTCTCTCAAAAGTCAAACCTCATTGTACATCAGAGAACACACACTGAAGAAAAAAATCGTATGAATAAAACATATTAAAAATGTATAGTCACAAGTCCAGTTTTCACACCATGGGGAAAGTTCACTCACATTTTGAATGTTCAGTAATCTTTGTTCACAGACTGCCCTTATTTAATTGAAAAGTTTTGGGGGGTAAACCCACAGACTACAACAAATATGGACCAGTCTTTGTTAAATGACAGCCTATTGAATGTCAGGTATGCCAGTTTAATACTGGTGTAAAAATCTTATAAAGTTGTTGGGTTTTTATAGCTTCTAGCAAAGATAAACTATATTGAGAAATTTGTCGATTTAAGAAATATAAATTGAAAGATTTGCTTAGAAATAATGTAGTAATAAACACAGTTTTAGTTCTATTCCATAATTATCTTTAGGACACATAAGAAATAGTAATTTATAGGTGTATTTTGTGGAATTTAAAGCTTTAAAAACAAAATAAATTTACAATTTATTTGAGTAGTTGCAATAAGAGTACAGAGAATGCCCATGTATCCTTCACCAAGCTTTCACTAATGATAATATCTTACATTAACCATAGTATATGCTCAAATTCAAGAAACTGGTGATATCATGCTTTTAACTCAGATACCTTTCAAATTTCATCAGATTTTACATGCACACTATGTATATGTATGTATGTATGTCGTTTTATCAAATTTTACCACTTGTAGATTCCTAATAGATCTTGGTTAATACCCAATTAGATTGCAGAATAAAGAAGGAACCTAAGATCTCTATTGCATCAAGGTTACAAAGAAATCAGGATTTGGCCTCAAGATGACCCCTTTTATTAGTAGTCATATCCTTTCCACAACCCTATCCCTTTCAACTGTGTGGATATGAAGCTTTTTAAAATCATAGATAAATTGAACAATTCAGGCAGTAGCACTAAATTCTATTAATAACATTAAATGTGAAGTATCCCTAAAGTGCTTAGGACTTATGTATGTTCAAATGGTATATTATATAAACTGTGTATGTTTCATATGCATAATGGAACTTAATAGAATTCTGTGTAGGAAGTAAGGTATCCGGTTTACTAGTTGTTACAACATCAGGCCCACTCTCAATCATTTTAAGGCTTAGTTCAACAGTTTAAAAGGAGATCCACGCTGCTAATGTCTACCCATACAGAAGTCATAAATCATCAGGCCAACTTGGTGGCATAACAGTAATGTATTATTTATGTGATGCTGGATTCATATGGAAGATTATGGGTCTGGCTTCTTAGTTGACCTGTATGTGCCAGGTGCATGTGCCCATGTTTCTGGTGGGCTGGGAAGGCTGGGGAGAGATTGCAGTGTCAGATTTTGGATATGTGTGTTCGTCTGTATTTCTCACTCTCATGAAGAATAAACTTTTGAAAAGATATTATAAAAATTAATTGTGATCTACCTCCAGCCTCAGCCAGTCTCCTCCCAAGGAAAGTATAATAAAAGTTATAAATCATCATAACCAAATTTTTAAAAATGTATTCTGTGCATGGGGAGATTACAGCCTTACTCCATATTAATCTCTTTCTCTTCTCATCCATTGTGCATTTCATGCCATAAAGTGCCTTGATAGACATATATGAACACTAATCTTCAGTCTAAAGTATTGTCCAAACCTTCTGTAGACATGTCTTTTCTAAGACAGCACCTGGCAGAGAGGCCCACATATACAAACTAGGTGTTTCTCAGGGTTATTGGGTTATAAATTCAGGAGTTGGATATACCCAGATAAGCATTTGGGCCCTCAGAAGTGTTTTTTAAAGACAACGTCTCACTCCAGTGCAATCCCCTTGCATTCTAAATAGGTAGGAATATAGGTGTGCAGCACAACATCTGACTTTTAGGGTGTTCCAGAAATTGAATCTGGATTTCCCATTCAGCTTCAGCCTGAGTAACAGCTACATGTTACCAGTGTGCTTCACCACAGCTGAGCTTCTCAGACACTTGACAGTATGAAGAGTAGGTCTGAGATTAGAGCTACAGTGGCACTTTCTCAACAATGTAAAAGTCATAGAGTATAGTATATGATCAGATCACACAAACAATCTAAAATTACACAGTCTAATGATTTTAGATTACACTTAGTTTTTATCTTAAAAAACTAGAAAAGCAAATTAAATCCCCATTCATGAAAAAAAATTGACTAAAAAAATCAAGAAAATTAAAAAGAGAAAAATCAATAAAACCAAAAACTGATTATTTGCAAAGGTCTATAAAATTGATATACTTCTAGCTAAATTAAAAAATAAAAAGAAGCCTTAGATTGCTGATATGAAAAATGAAAGATGAGTCATCACTACTGATCGTATGGATATTAAAAATATTACAGAGTATTATGGATAACTCTGCCCATAAATTTGATAATCTTACTGAAATGGATCAATTCCTTTAAAGATGCACTCTATCAAAACTCACATAGGGTAAACCTGAATAGGCATATATCTATTGAAGAAATGTAATGAATAATGACCTTCCAAAAGAGAGAATGCCAAGACCAGATGGGTTTATTGAGAAATTCTTGACAACATGTAAGGTAGAAATGATACTAGTTCTTCACAGTCTCTTCCAGAAAGTTAAAGCAGAGGGAATACTTCTAACTTACTCCCTGAGGCCAGCATTACCTTAACACCAAAACCTAGCAAAGACATTACAAGAAAGGAAAAATATAGACCATTTCTCATAAACATAGATTTAAAACTCCTTGACAGAATATTAGCAAATAAAATCCAACAATGTGTAGAAAGGATTATATACCATGACCAAGAGGTATTTATTATAGGTATTCAAGGCTAGTCAACATCTGATAATTGGCATAACTCATCACATCAACAATTCAAAGATGATACATGATCATATCAATACATGCAGAAGAGCATTTGACAAAACAACTTGCTGATTCATTGTAAAAACAGCAAACTAGTAATACAGGGGAACTTCCTCAACTTGATAAAGAACTACAAAATTCCCTACAGTTAATACCATACTTAGTGTTTCAAAACAAGATGCTTTCCCACAAGATAGGAACAAGGCAAGCTCTTGTCACTGTTCTACATCCTCCTGGAAGTCCTCACTAATGCAGTAAGTCCAAATAATAATAATAATAAAATAAATTAAGAGGAAGAAATTAAATTGTTCACAGATGATTGTAGAAAATTCCAAAGAACAATAAAAACCTGACACTAATAAGCAATTATAGCAAGGTTGCAGGATAGTGTACAGGCAGGCAGACAATAAATGACCTATTAAGCCACAAACAGAAATAGAGCAGCCTTAAATGCATATTGTTAGTTTAAAGAAATCCATTCTGAAAAGGCTCATTATACTGTATAACTCCAAATCCGACGTTTTGGAAAAGCAAAAACTATGAAGACTAAACAATGGTACCAGGAGTTCGGGAGCAGGGTTGGGGGAAGGCGAGGGATGAATAGGTGGAAAGTGATTTTTAAGGCAGTGTATTCCATAGGTACTGTAATTATTCATACCTGTCATTATACATTTATCAAACCCACAGTATGCAACAGAGTGAATCCTAATGTAAACTATGGACTTCAGTTATTAATGTGTCAGTATTGGCTCATAATTGTAACAAATGTACCACAATAATACAAGATAATAATGAGAGAAATTGTGAAACATGGGAGGGGTGAAAGGATGTATGGGGAGTCTCTGTACTTTTTGCTCAGTTTTTCTGTAACTGTTAAACTACTCTAAAAAATAAAGTATATTAAATAAATGACTAACCAACCCTGCCTGCATACAGCAATATAGATGGGTTTATGTGGGGATCTTTCCTATGTATTTTATGAAATAAAAACTCATCGTTCAGTACCAATTGTTCTTTATTTGGGTTTGAGAGTATTGGGCAATGGGACATCATCTCAGAATCCAGCCACCAAATGTATTTTCAATTATAGTTTTTAATTTTCCTAAGTCTTATCATTTTTATTTTTTTCATGAGCAAGAGACACAGAGAAGGAGACAGAGACAGCACCCCTAGTAGGGTTTTGATGCCATGATCCACCCCTAGGCCCAGCCAACTTGGATCATGGGCATGTGCATGCCTGGTGTACTCAAGGAGGTCTTCAGACATGGACTGGGAACTTACCATGTGGGTCAGCCTAGCAGAGGCATCATGTTTTATGCTGTGCCACAGTTTGACCCGTGTAAGCCTTACCATTTTTTAGAATTATCTTGTGTTCCTTACCTTTTTTATAACATCTTGTTTCTGTACTAAGGTTTTTATTGGTCAGTTTCTGCACTGAAACTGCAGTCACCACAAATGAACATTTGAATTGCTTTTATACATCTTTGATACATTTTTAAGTTATAATTACTGCAACCTGAAATTAAGACCCACTTTTTTTGAGAGGTTTTTGCAATAGGGCGTGTGCGATCACTAGAGACAGAGAGAGAGTGACAGAGAGAAAGCAAGAAATCACCCCCCAGGGGGGATTGCCACTCCACAATCCCTTCTCCTCCATTCTCTCTTGGGATCTTGGGCACGCATGCACGTGTGCCTGGTGTGAGTTTAAGCCAGTGGGTCTGGGACTCGAACTGTGATTAACTACATGAGAGTCCAGCGATGTACCCATTATGCCATCTGCTGGTCCCAAGACCCAATATTACTGGCTGTCTTCACATCTGAAGCCAAGTGGGCTTCAAATGGCCTAACCACGAGTTTCTCTCTTTGCTCCACAGATAAAGACCCCTAATTAGACCCTTCTTATCAGGAGAATCAGGCATGCACAGTTCCTCCTTATCCCCCCAATAGCGAGTTTCACTTCCCTGCCAGCTTGTGATATTTTTCAGACAAGTCTATAACATTCTCCCACAGCACATGGATCACTGTACCCTTGTGATACTACAAGGCTGCTGCCTACTACCCCTGCTTTTTCACTCTGCTCTCAAGTGGGATCCTCCTGTGGTTGTATGTGGATGTGGCATTCTCACTGGGCCTGAGAGTATATATGACTAATAAACTCATAGCTCTGATTAGTCTAGTGTCAGGCATCATATGTTCAGCCCTTTCATGCCCCCCCCCCCCGAAGCAAATCCCTCCTTCACCAATAGAATAACTAGGAAGCAACTAGCATAGTAAGCAGGGTGCACCTTCTAAGATCAAGGTCACCTACTTAGTTTTTAACTAATTGCTCATGTATTAACTGGTTCTGTGATATGGCCAAGGCTACTTGGATAGAACCACT